TAAATAATGCCAAAATGGGGCATTTTCAATGCCTCACTGCTCCTTAATTAGCATGGGCACCCCCCTTTTTTATTTCAAAATCGAAGTTACCATATGACAAATATTCAGTGGACAAAGTTTGAACAAAAATCTATTGTCACTTTTATTTTAGAGGAATTACCTTAAACTATTATTAAAATAGTGCTAACTTGTGAGCATTGTTACAAGCTTGTTGCATGCAAATGAAAAAGAAAATCTAACGACTAGATTTTCTGGAAACAAAAAAAAAACCGATTTCAAAGACCTGTTTATATTTATTCATTTGCCATGGCAACGGCACATACGTCAGCCTAGCTATCAAAAATCTGAAGTTTGTGTTGTTAACTTGCGTGTTGCCATTTTTGACGACCAAAGGATCAAGGGTTTTTGAGAAGAAGGAGATTGAAACACAGGTATCAAAACTGTGTTCGGCCACCTTAAATTAAGACCTTAATACACCAATCTGTAGTGTACAAAGTGTGTGCGGTGACCAATGCAGCAACCCTTTTGACTTTGCCTCTGTCACATGTGGCGTGACAAGCACAATTTACAAGGGTCTTGACTAAACGAATCAATATACAGTCGAACTCCTATTAAGTGGCCACCTATTAAACGGCCACATGTATTAGGCGGTCAGTGATCAAAGTCCCGATGAGGGCTTTTCTATTGTTTTTACGTCTGTTAAGCGGCCAGTCCCCTTTAAGTGACCACTATACATTTCCCCGTAAGTGGCCGTTTAATAGGGGTTGAACTGTATAAAGAACACAGACAATTGCTTAAAATTGCCCCTGTTTTTACAACTCCACAGAAACACGGAAAATGTTTACTGTTTCTTAAGTAATATAAAGCGAACAAAAGCCAATGATACATCATAACTTTGTTTACATAACCTTGTTGTAAAACGAGTGGAGAACCACTCAGAGTGTGTTAGATGAGCAAAATGTTATGAATATCAATATCAATGCAAATATCTATACATTTTATTTATCAATGTAATAATAAACGTTCTTACACTACAGGACAGACTCACGAAGATCTTGAGCTGGTGGCCACACACTAAATGGCTGCCATATTTCTTCCACGCATTTCCAGATTTCATGATTTGTCAAGTGATTTAGATTTCCTTGATCGATTTCTTCTGGTTTGTTTTCCATCACACGTTTGAGTTCCACAGCTTTTTTCAACGACGAAAGCTGCGAGGTATTAGAGGTTTTCCTCTTCCTCTTCTTTGACTGCTTGTGGAGGAACTCCTTTTCCTTCTATTAGAAATCTCCAAATTCAATTCTCGCACTGCATCGGTTCTTTTTCCAGCGATGTTGAAGAAGTAGATGAAAGGATTGCACATGGAACTGGCTAGACCCAGTCCATACATTCCAAGTCTAGCGCCATCCATGAGATTAGGAAATCCTCCCAGTGTTCTCTCTATAAAACCGCAATAGCTAGATTACAGATGGCGCTCAGCACGTCAAAAACACCAAGACAACAATCAGCAACACACGAGTAACTCTTTTCCTCGATCGCACCAACACCTTCAAATTAGTCGCTTGTGCACTGATCGTAGATGAGATTGACAGGTTCCTCTGTCGCCTCCATACAACTCTCGCAACCTTGTAATACAAGATGCTCATTGTCAGCAAAGGCAAAGAGAAGAACGCCACCGAGAGAAACACCAAGTAAGATATTCCAGAGGAGGTATTATTTGGAACAGTGGTGTAGTAATACACTGTCCTGTTCCCTTCCAAGGTGATGGGCTTAACGTCCGCGAAGTAAAAATGTGGGTACGAATTGTATTATGGAGTAGCTCCAGGCTAGAGGAACCAACCTAGAAGGAGTAAGAAATCTTGGTCGGTAGGAAATGGAGGCAATTGGTCTCGCTAGCGTCAAGTAACGATCTATACTTATTGTTGTAAGGACAGCGATGGAAATAGTTGGAGCTAGGTACTACAAGGAAAAAAAGGAAAACAAGTTATTCACAAGGTAGAGTGCTATTGGAGATTTTCGTCAGTTATAATTGTTACAAAAATTGCAAGTTCAAGGTTAGCGTCAACTGATGCAGTCAACAGAAATCATCTGACGAACTTATTGTTTAAGTGTATAAAGCAGGTACGGATTTTTAGATGTTTGTGATCAATACATAGGGGGACATCTATGAATTACTTAGAAAAAAAGACCACTTTTTGTTTGTTTGTTTTTGTGTGTGTAGATGTGTTAACTCTACCTACGGAGTCGAAAGAGGTTGGAGGTTCCAACTTGTGCCGTAAATAAATCCTGATGCATATGTTATATTCCATCAAGAGATGATCACCTGATCTTCTCTTAATTCCATTCTCTGCTTCCATCCCTAAGTCGCCCTGATCTTATTACTTGTTTCTCCAACAAAACACTATCACGTTTATACTTGGGACAGATTGTAGAATATCACTTGACCCCAGAAATCAATATGTTAATCAAATTCATGGACTCGCAGTAGTCCTTGGCATAACCCAGTGACTGACTGATTAATAAACGTGCAATCTGATTGCAATTGTTGCATCCTTTTCGTGTCGAGAAAAAAGGAGCATTCAAACATTTGTTGGGAAGTAATGTTTGCATGTACGCAGACTCTACTTAACAAAAGTAGGACTTGTATGTATAAAGAAAACTATCCATAACCAGACACCTTTCGTTATTCCTATCTTACAGAGGCCATTATCGATGGAGCTATTATGCAGGGTAGTGGAAATTACTGAAGATGATGGGTGGTATACACAGCAAGCACACC